AACACATTTTGAAAAAGCGAGAAAAAACTTAGGACACACTTTTCTGTAAAAATCAGAAAGAAAAATAAAGAATTATATTTCTGATGGCCTCAATAATGCTTTCCAAACGAGAAAAAAAGAGTTTTATAGTCAACTCAATATGCTCTACAATCTTGGTAGATCAAAAAATTTCACAGCAAAATAATCGTATTCCAGAAAACTGGTCTAACTGTCGGTCTTGTATAGATATTCAGAATTATCATACTTGATTATCTAAAATCCATTAGATTTGATGGAAAAAGCAATTAGACAATTCGAGATTTTCCTTCGTGAGTAAAATATCTTATTATAGTCTTGATTAACTTTCAGATATTGATTTCAAACGTTTATATTTAAAACTATTCTATACCTTTTTATTATCCATCAATTTTTCAATTTCCATATCTAAATTATTCCCCTGTCTAATCATCATGTAAGGTATTGATGAAAATCCATGTAATGTAATTAAACAACGTGAATTTTCAATTTCAATTAAGAGTACTAAATCATTCTTAATCAATTGATTTTGATAACGATAACGTAAATAACCATGTTCACGTTCAAGTATAAATAAATGATTATAATTTAAAAGATAAAATGATCGTTTTTTTGAATAATTTTTATTAATATTTAATATTTCAATAAATCCAATTAATGAATTTTCTATTGGAAAATAAAATCTATTTAATGAACATTGAATTATTTCTTTTGATAAAATATTTATTTGAATACGAAATTTTCCAATAATAAAATTATAAAAATTTCCATTTAATAAAATTAATGTTTGATTTTTAATAAATAATCTTCCATTAATATCAATAGAAAACATTATGGAAATTTTTCTATTTAAAATTTTCAAATTTGAACCTATTTCATTTATATAACCGATTGTATAATTATTAACAAATGGTTTATATAATATAAATTTATAAAATAATTGTTTATTTTGATCATTAATAAATATATTTAAACGTGTAAATGTAATTAAAGTTTTATATCGAGCAAGAATAAGAAATGAATATTTAATAAATAGATTAGTTTTTTCAATATATTTTATTATTCCAGCATATTGATCTAATTCAAATGAATTTATATTTGTTTGATTAATTAATTGATAAGTTATATTAAATGAATCTAAATATTGATTTCGATTTTTTATTGATAAATGAATTGGTTTTTCATTATCATATACAAATGATATAGAATCTAATGAATTATTAATATAACCATAATAAACTTCTTTTTCAAATATGAAATCAATTATTTCATTAGAATATTTTATATCAGAATCAATAACACATTTAGCAATATTTGAAGGTATAGTAAATGAATCAAATCCATGAATAGTCAATGAATTATAATTATCATATTGTTGACCAGTTAATGGATCAATACTATGTGTAGGTATAGATTTATATGTAAAAAGATATGGAGAAGTATTCGAATAAAATGGACAAGTAAATTGTATACCAATATTTGATATAAATATAGTTACAATACAATAGATAGGTTTTATTTGTGATGTATCAATAATAATTAATTCAATTGGATAAACATATGAACGAGAACGAGATTCATCAAGAAGAAATAAAGATTGATTGGATGAATCAATAGAAAATAAACCTAATGGATCACCTAAAAAAAAAAAGTAACAAATTCGATATAAAAACATTCTAATTATTAAATTACTGATTGTATAATTGAAGGGTTACAGAAATATTAGTCCGATCTGAAATTTCGTTGACTTTTCAATTCAAACACAAATTTCTTTCACTAACTTCCCTAAAAACTCGAGCTCCTATAAAAATTAGTACACTCAGAAGTGCTTAGCAACATATATTTTCAGTAAAACTTAGTGCTTAACAAGATGACGTGATGCCTAGCAGGACAACATATTGTTAAGCAGTCTCTTTCGATGCTAGTAGAAGTGGTATGGTCTTTTGAGATAACTATTACTTGTATGCAATAAGTACCAATGTAAAAAGTGGATGTTAGTACTAAATTTAATTCTTATGCTTCGATATTTTTGGTATCAAAATAATTTAATCAGTACAATTTTTCATTCTAAGATAGTAGCTTCCTTCGAATAGAAGAGCTTCGAAGCACAAAGCCCCGATGGCAGAGAACATGTTTGTTTTGTTGTTGGGATATTTCGAGCTTGAAAATATCAGAAGTTTATTCGCTGGGAACCGATATCTTATTAAATACTTCTAATATCGAATTTTAATCATAGCATTAGGATTAATGCTAATACAAAAAATCTTACTACAAGAGGATGATTATTTAGATAATAAATAATAAATGTTGAATATAGTAGTTTTGTTTTTTTTGGTTACCTTCAATAATTTGAGCATCCGGTTTAATTCTTTTTCCATAATAATCATTATTAATTAATTCCAAATCGATTAAATATTTTTTTTGATTATTTATAAATGATGTTTCAAATATAACTAAATAATTATCTTGACTAAATCTATATGAATTATTTGTTTGATTTTTTGATTTTTCTTTATCAAGAATATTAATATGTAAACGTGTATAAGCTATGTGAGAAATATTTTTACAATGATAAATAATAGTTAATAGATGTTTTTTATTCATTGATTTTTCTAATGATTGAATATTAGTTATCAAACCTGTATATGAATCAATACGAAATAAATCTTTTGATTGAATTCTTTCAACTGAATGAATATTATATGTACAATTATCAAATGAATTTTCAATAGTTAAATGTGTTATTTTACTATTAATTGTAATATTTTTTAAGACAGAAATATAATAATCTGTTTGAGCAAAATAAATTAATGAACGTTTATCATTTATAATATGAATAATAACCTAAGAAAAGAAAATAAATAAATAAATTGTCGGTATAACTTGTTTAAGGCTAAAATATGGAACTGACATATGTTTTTGTACCTCATTATATTAATACCAAAAATATGTTGGATGAAAAAACTCTAGGAGAATATAATTATTTTTCAAGGATAAGCGATCATCAGGAAAATTATCTAATTTATTTATTTGTGTATTTAAAATAGAACTTTCTTTGTTTTGTTGCTTTTCATATTTCATCTCTTTTTAATTTAAAATCATTATTATTCTAATCATTGATTTAATCGACAAACAAACTTGCTGTACGTATACATTTAATCTACACTAGATCAATCATTGTTAATATGTCTTATTTCTCTTTTACTCTTTTAGAGGATGTGTCATGAAATTTTGTTGAATAAAGTTGCAACAGCTTCGAGGATTTATTGGAACTTTTCAATAAGTCCGTAAGCATTTTCGAATAAATTCTACACGGTTCTTCAGTACATACAAAGTGTGGGTGTGCTAAAAATATCATCATAATTAATAAATTCTGAAGAAATAAATCCCGGTAGTCACTCATTGATCTCGATTGCTATGGAAACAAAATTCAGTGATTATTGGCTGTGAGGGGAAACCATAAAACTTCGACTTAAAACTTACACTCACTATATTTGTCTTTCCAAAAAATATCATGTGAGTTCTAGAAAAATGAAATAGAAAATTTACTTTAATTGTATTCATTAAAATCCAATCATTAGTTATATTAATATGAAGTTCAATTATTGTTGTTTTGTTAATTAATTCATCAATAGGACGAATAAGAATAAGTTCACCCGATTGAAAATTTACATGAAAATAACGTGTATGATCAATATGACCTATCATAATAAACCATTGTGTATAATTATTATTATTATTATTTATTTTAAGTTGTAATAGAATAGAACCAACTTTTGTTGTTGTTAATAAATCAATATTAATTGTTGATTCATTAGTTAATAATAATGATGAATCAATAATATTCATTGGTAGAACATGAATTTTTATTGGTAAAATAACTCGAAATGAAACAATACGCCATTTACTATGAATTGCATGTTCATTATTAATATCTTCATCTTGTTCAATATCATTACGATGTGCAACAGTAAATGCTTCAACCTATTCAACAATAATTTTTGTTTTATTTATTACTAATAGTTTTTTTTTAATCTATTTGTTCTAAAGTGAATATACTTATCGAATTCACTTCAGATGAATAATAGAATAGTAACATCAATAGGCATAGATTAAATTGAACAGTATCAAGCAACTACTCTCACAGTCGTCTCCTTTTTAACTTACAAATATGTCGAGTTCTGTTACGGTACTTTAAATATAACCAATATCTCATAGGTAACGGGCACAGTTTCATATGTTAGAGTAATTTTCTTGAGAAATGGTTATAATTTTCATTAAAATATCCTATAAAATTCTATGCTAAAATTTGATTGGAACATATTGCTCGAAAATGAAACTTAGACAGATACTTGATGTCAATATAAATGTATCTATTCTATTACAATGTTTTTCATGCTTGGTAAAAAATCACGTTTTTCAGTACTATAGTGTAGTGTTACATTTTAACTACTTCTCTTGCTGCTACCCAGGTCAAAAGATTCAGTGACCCGGAATCCGATCCGAATTTTATCGGATGCTATCGAAATCCGGGTCATTGGATTCCCGGTCACTTCCGATAGAATTCTGTCGGTTTTAAAACGATCCAATAGAATCCGATGGCCCAACTTCGTCCTGGGTAATATCAATTGGATTTATCCAGTCTCTTTTATCGTTTTTTTTTTACTTACGAGGGAATATTCCCAAGTGATTCGCTCTGTTTTGATTCATTCATATTTCATTCGATAGAGTATATTGAGATAAGAAAAAGACTAAAATGATTCGTGTCCATGGCTTAGCAGATTTAATAGTCACTATATAGTCCTAAACATTTCCACGAAAACGAACATATCTTTCTCGAGTTATTCAATTTTCAAACAAAAAGCTGTTTACCATAGGAGGGCACAATAATCCAGTTTAGTTGGACATTGAATATCTCGAGAAAGATGTGACCGTTTTCATTGAAACTTTCAGGACTATATAGTGACTATTAAATCTATCTACAGATAATATTTCAGCTCGAAACTCTTCACTTTGTTTTTTTCCGAAATGCTTGGCTCACAGTAAAACGGCCATAACTTTTTACTACTAAGCCATGGGTACGAACCCTTTTAGTCTTTTTCTTATGTCAATATACTCTATCGAATGAGGTACGAATGAATCAAAACAGAGCGAATCACTTGGGAATGTTCCCTCGTTAGTTAGACACACGTTTATTTGATTACAACCATACGAATACATATATTAGTCACACAAAGATCGGTAACACGATGAATGAGTCTCAGCATTTGAGCTTCGATAGGTGAACGTGAAACATGATCTTAATTTAAAACATCTATTCAAGAAAAAAGCTAAACATGAAACAAGGCTTTCATTCTCTTGAAATATTCTTTCCTAGGATATATATATATATGAACATAAGCAATCAAATGATTCACATTCTATTTGTTCCGATATATACATTATTCAATCAGTAAATACTTAATTAGTTATTGTAAATATCTTCGTGAACAATGTGTATAAAGCTTATTAATGATCGAAATTACATATGAAAATCTCAACTATCGATATATCACAGAAAATTCTTTTTTATTACAAATATCATTGCTTGCATAGTAGTTTAATTCATGATATTGATGTATATAACTAACTTCTGTAACGTTCTATATCGAAATAGTTTTAAAAATTTTTATGATACATTTTTTTCTTACATTAAATTCATAGGTTCTATTTGAATGTAATAATTGTTTTGAAGCTATATAACCAGTTCGACGATTAATAATAAAATATTGATTGAAATCAATAATTTGATAACGTATTTCAATATTTTTATCATAAATTTCATGATCTAATAAAGCAATAACTTGAAATAAACGTTGTCTTAATCGTTTACTATTCGATGAAATTTCTATTAAATCAATATTATATGTTGATGAATATAAAAATTTAGGTGTTAACTGTTGTCGTCGAATAAAATTAATTTCTAAATAACAATCAACAGATAATTGATGTTGATTATCTAAAGCTTGTATTGTTAATAAATAATTAGATATTAATAGATGATTATTTTGAATTGATGATAATAATTGAATAGAACCTGTTTGTTTATTAATAGAAAATATGTTTTCATTTATATTATTATTATTTATTATTGAATATTGAAGATGAATATTATCATAGAATGATAATGCTTGAATATAAGCAAATGTTGATTGAATTAAATAATCATAAATTTTTATATTTTGATAAATATCAACACATTGTGGTAAATAGAAATTTTCTTCTCGAATTGATATATGAATATGAACATATGAATGTGGTGGATGAGCACGATAACGTGTTAAACGTATCGAAAGCCAATAAGATGTATTAGATAAATCACTTAATGAATGGATAAGACGAATAGAACCTAAATAAAATTTTAGATTTTATTTCCAAAGAAGAAAAAAGATATATTCAAATTTTCTTTTTTGTTTGTTTCAGTTTCCATGAGAATTCAAGATTTATTTTATATGCTATTGGTTCATCGTTGCACTTATATATACATATAAAGCTGTCATAAAAATCAGAGCAGTCATCTTATTCCGCAAAGTTACACATTCCTGCATCGCATAAGGGTATCAAACTCATCATCATTCAATTCCGGAATTCCTGACATCCAATTCCCACCCATGCCATCGAATTTTACGGAATTCCTGCATAGGCTGATGTATTCATGTTCAACTGAACATTGCTATAGAAATAAAGATTCAACTCCGTTTTAGAATTCCGGAATTGCATCGATATGGAATGACCAGGAATTCCTGCATTTCATAGGGATTCCGGATATGCACAAATTCCCGAATTCCGCTTTGATATCGAATAGATCTTTTAAGATGATCATTTCGTTATTCAGTATATCCTTCGAATTCTGGAATTACCAGGAATGACCAGGAATTGGATGTTGAGAGTTGGATCTGAAAGGAACTACGAATCAGGAATTCCTGGTTGTGGCATGTATTTGAGGGAAAGGGTCGTTTTAGGTTTTCCGGAATTGATGGTAAGGGATTCCGGGTTAGAAGGCGATGTAGGAAAGTGTAAATTTTGGGAATAGGAAGTATTCTCAAAAATCACTCGATTATTTCTACAATAATTCTCATATCGTCAACTTTTTGCAAATGTATCGATAAGAAAATACATAGAAAATAATGGAAGCTCTAGAACTTCTCTGTACATAAAAGTCATGAAAAGCTCATGTTCATGAATTTTTCTTCTTGAGTTTATCTTCATCAAGTTCTCAATGGAAATAATTTATTTTGAAAGCATCAGATTTTTGCAGTATCGTCTATTCGTGCATATCAATACAAGAATAAATTTCACTGTTTCGTATAACAAAATTTTCAATACTGATATCCGAGATATTAGAATCAAATAGATCTACCTAATGAAAAAAAGAGAATCATCTCAACAACAATTTATTATTTAGTAAAGTTCCGTCATGAGCATACAGTATATTTAGAATAAGTATTTTAATTACAAAATAATACCTTGTTGATCAATAGAAAATGGTATTGGATTTTCTTCATGAATTATATCAATAAAATCAATAGATGATTCTAAAATTTGTAAATGATGATAAACATTTGTAACAATTGTTCCAATCGATGACGATTGATTAATTATTATATCATAAGCTGGTTCACGTAAAAGAATCGGTTCTTGTATTTCTATAAAACGTATTATATAAATATAAATCCATGTATAATTTATATGTAAACCATCGAATACTTTAACTGTAATATTTATGTTTTGATCAATCATATGATATAGATTAGATTTCAATCGAAGATGACCAGTATATCGATTTATTTTAACATATGGATTTGGATCAATGGAATAAATTAGATTATCTGCTGAATCTAAATCAAATGCATAAACTTGACCAAATATTGTATCTCGTGGTAAATCTGAGAAAAGATAATAAGTATAATTAGTCGATGAAAATTGAGGAATATTATCATTGATATCAACTATTGTAATGTGTAATGTCATACAAATTGATTGTAATTGTAGTTGTTGACCTTGATCTGAAGCGATGATATGTAATAGAAGAAAAGGTATTTGTTCACGATCGATTGATTGAATAGAATCGATTTGTCCACTATAGGAATTAATTGTAAAATATTGATTATAATCAAGTAATGAATAAAATATTGTACCATTTTCACCTATTTAATATGATTACATATTAGAAAAATAAATGAAATAAAATTTACTTTGATCAGGATCAAATGCTTGAACATGAAAAATATTTGTTTGTATTTTATTTTCAAATAAATAAATATGTTTATGAAAATTATTACATATTGGAATATTATCATTAATATCATCAATATAAATAGTTATGAATATTTTTTGATAATATTTATTTGAATATTGAAAATCAATAAATGAATTTTTCTCTTGAAAACTGTATATTTCTTGTAATTTCAATACATACGTAGATTTTAATTTTAATTCTATTTCGAATGTATATTGATTTTGTTTTTCACGATCAAGAGGAAATATTAATTTAATTGTTTTTTCATTTTGATCGATTATAAATGGTACTGATGTATCATTAATTATATAGAAAAAAAGATTATCTTTGTCATTATTAATGAATAAAGGAAAAGAGTCATAGTCGATTTTTAAACGATCAATGATTGTATTTATTTCAGAATCTTCAGAAAGATGATAAGATGTTGCATTTCGATTAAAACCAATATTAAGATAAATAGTCTTCGCCTTTGAATATCTGATTGATAATAAAAAATAATGTAAGATATATTTTTTTCAAATGCAAAGTTAAATAGACAATTATGTATTTATGATCCTAATCGAAATCTTTACGTCTCTAGTAACAATAGTAGTGACGCCCAAATCACTCTGAAGTGATTTCGAATTTTTGTCATGGCATTTTTTCCTTCCACTGGGATCCAGTGAGACTAGAAAAAGTCTAATAGGATATGAGCTCATGGGTCTCTCTGTCCGACTTATGAACATACTATAAATTTCATGGTTCTTATAGCGACATAAAAATTACAATTAAAACACGAACTTCTTTCTCGAGATATTGAGTTTTCAAGAAAAGTTTTGCGGTATTTTGATCGCTATATGGATCATGAGATTTATATTATGCTCATAACTCGCGAAGAAAGACGTACTAGTCTTTATCCTATTAGATTTTTTTAAGCTCACTAAGCTCTACGCATCAAAATAATATCAGTGAAAATCTTCTGAACTACTTGCAGCGGTTTTCTTTGATTAGAGAATACTACTATCAGTATATCATGTATAATGGTAACCTGAATTTAAACACACAGCACGAGATAGATTATCGGAAAAATATGAATTAAAAATAAAACTAAGCCAAAGTGAATTTTGTATATCCAAAACTGAAACGAGACCACCGCAAATAGATGCTTGTATAGTAACTAATTTTCTTTACTGAAAAATGTTCTCGCAATATAACTAATTGAAAATTCGACAGCATTATCAAATTCAAGTAATAGATTCATTAAGATATCGAAAACTCAGGTAAATGATGTTACTCTTAATAGATCATGACCAGTCAAATAATGCTTGCAAAATAAAAATGTAAACTCATAACTATATATCGAATCGAATAGATTTTGTATGTTGCATATTTTTTCGTACTACGGAGGGTCTTGGTTCGGTTTTAATTATATGAGTTATGAATAAAATGTAATTTCATGAGTTAAAAAGATTTTAATTTATATAATTAAAAGAATTTTTTCTAATCAAAAACTAAATAAGAATCTAACCTTTGTTCTGGTATCATTAATAATGATTGATTTTTCGTTATTTTTATGTCTGATTTTTTTCTTGTTAAATTTTGTTCAATTAATTTAGATGATAAATTAATTTGTATATTAATTTTTGTTTCAAAATTTATAGGTTCACCCCAATCAAATACTATTATTTGTAAATCATAAATATGATCTTTGATAAAATTTATTTGTTTTTTTAAATTTAATATTCCATTATTTGGATTTATTTCAAATGGACAATAATTAAAACAATTCGATAAATAATATGTAAGATATCCATTTGTTTGTTTATTATTATCAAAATCAAATGCTTGAAATTGATATGGTAATTCATATAATTCTATTAATGTTTGATTAATAAAATTAGGTCGATATTTATTAATTTCATAAATATTTATTTCAATATTTGTTTTTATTGAATAATTTTGATTAAATAAATAAATATCAGCTTGAATATCTAATATATATTTTTGATATTTTAAATATTTAACAAGACGTAGAATACCAGTTTTAGGNTTTAAAATATGGAAATCAAATATTTGTAGATGATTAGACATTCCAACAGGACAATGCTACATCTCATACCCATGCTGAAACACAACCTCCGACCCAATTTTTTTCACAGCACGTATCAGTTCACCAATCAAGGTTGCTCTAGATTGTACGTTGTTCCAGTTATTATGACTAACAAATTCATCTCATATACAACAGTCTAGAGAATATAAATTGGGGCTATTTGGAGGCCAATAGCCTTTATCGATGAATTCTGGAAAATTTTCTTCGCACCGTTGTGTTACAGCATGGGTATGAGATGTAGCATTGTCCTGTTGGAATGTCTAATCATCTACAAATATTTGATTTCCATATTTTAAAGCCACAGGTAGTACAGCTTTTATGTATCGTTAATGATTCACCGATTGGGTATCTAAAATAACCAATGGAGAAACACCATCCGAAAAAAACTCAACCAGACTATAACCTATTGTGAAAACTTTCATTTTTTCTTCCTGCTGCCCATATAGGAGGATGTGGGTGTGTGGTGTGCGTTTAACCTCATCAGACACCCGCACCCACACCCACACCCACTCACACCCCACACCCACACCCACACCCACCCACACCCCAACTGACCTAGATTCTATGAAACTATATTGAAGGGAACCAGGTGAGATAATCTAAGCTAAAACTTTTGCTGATCTAAGTTATCACATGATTCTCACAATGTAAGAATTAAAACATAAATAATTGAAACAAAAAAGTAAATAAAAATCAATTGAGCACAAATATAAAAATGCTTTGAAAATACAAGTCATCAATTGCAAGCAGTGACAATGAAATGTATTATGAGATTTAGAAGATGTGCAGATAACTGAACATCAGAATCGTACAGAAGAAAACTTTCAGTTTTAAAGAGTTTCCTAGCGATGAATGTGGAGAAGCGCTTGTCATTGTTAGTCAAAAAACAACAAACTAACGCTTATTTATTCTTGTTTTTTGTTTTATTTATGCTTATTCCTGCTTTTTTGATATAAAATAATTTCATATTAAAATGTTGAACAGTACATTCGTGAAACAGCACACAGAAAGCGAACCAGCTCGACTATTAGTTGAACTTGACGAATTTCTCTTCAATAACACCGACCTTTATAATGGCAAGAAGTTTTCAAAATTATTGCTCAGTAGATTTTTCAGTTGCCTATTCATGTCTACCTCTCAAAACAGTTTGATTAGAAAATTGTCCGCTATTCAAAAATTCCTAGATACGCCACTGTTTGAGGAAATAAAAAAGTAATGTATATTTCGAGAGATATTTCATTGATAATTAGAAAATGTTTTTTGTATTAATATGTATATTTATTCATTGTCATTAAGTTGCAATTGTTCCAGAAGTTAATAAGAAAATTCACGACGATGTTTTTATTGTTCTTCATTGCTGTTGCTATTATCATTATCAATAAATTGACGTAAGCTCTTTTGGTGAGATTGTTCTTTTCGTCGTACAATGAGTTTTTTCTGTTCACGCTTTTTGCTTGTATTAGCACAGATATTTTTACAAGATTTAGCTGCATCTTTAATTGACAAACCTTGACCTAATTTTGGATTTCGTAATTTATCAACACATTCGATTTCACATTTAAGATCTTGTTTAATTACATTATAACCACCTTGTCGTCTGTTCATTGCATGTTCATATTGATCAGAATCGTCTTCTTGATTATCTTCATCTAAGATATTAATCTATTAAAAGATGATCAATAGAAGTTTTTATACTAACCTAATGTAATAGATCGTTCCATTTGTTCATTATCAAGATGGTTTAAAATCGAACGAAGTTCTAATTGTAAATCATTGTCACTTTCTTCACCATCTGTTGCAACCTCACGTACTGATGGATAATTAGCAACATGTGCAATTAATAGAAAAAATACTAAAAAAATCAAAAGTGAATACAAGTAAATGAGTGTTTGATAAGAATTCATACAAAAAATTACCTGCGAATCCGATATACATTCTATATAAATTAGCAGTAAACTAAAGCAAAAGAAGTTTGAGTGCTGTATTGATACTTTTCGTCGCCTTTTATAGTCTTCTCTTTTCGAAAAAATTATTCATATTGATTTCTTCTTTCTTTTTTCGTCCTGCTCTGAAATATTTTTTCTCTTCTTTTCTCTCTAATAACAATATTGGACAAAAAAAAAACGCATTGAAAGAATCGTTTATTCAAAATTACGATGTAAAGTTGTGTACGTAGTTTTGGTCTTGATATTAATCAAGGCAAATAAAAAATCCAAATCTATGTGTGCGAATATTCAGTTCTGTCACTTTTATTGATATAAAAATGTGTATAACAGAGTGGGTAATGATAGGTAAATATATACACACACGAATATTATTCACTCATGTCCTTAAAATCGGTGAGAAATTGGTGATTAATCGCGATTTATCGAAACGATAATCGTGTGCTAAATTGCGATAAAATCGCCGATTTTTCTCGATTATGTTGGCGATTTTTGCGATAAATCGTGACTCTATAATCTGTTTTAACCCTCTATTCACTGATATTCTATACGATTTCATACATATGCATACCTAATTTTTCTTCTCATATTCAAAATTTTTTATTATTCATTTAATTTCACAAATATCTCTATTGAAGAATTGCAAGTTAACATTATTATGCATAGACGTATTATGTAATAAAAACAAAAATTACAACGCGCTATGAAATTTTGTATAATTAGATGAAACCATGTCCGAAAAAATATATATATATTGAAATGTTCATATGTAATAACTGTTCCATGCGACCATGCGATGAGCATTTCGACCACTCGATTTGAGGTCGCCGTAGCCATCGAAATTTAAAACGTAGCCCTCGGATTCTCATTTTCCGATCGGTCAGCAAAACATAGATTATTCGATGGGATCAAAATCAAAAAGGATTTATTCATACAGATGTCTCATTTTCGAGTCGTCGAAACCTATCGAATAAATGTCGATGAGAAGATTAGAACATGAGTACTTACGTTAAATAGTCGTTGAACATCCAAAGTAAATATGAATTATGCTTACTCCATGAAATTTATATTTTCAATTCTTAAAAGGATAGTACTTCGAACTTATTTGCACATTTGCTAGAAATTTTGAAAATTACAAAAAAAAATTTCATCGAAGGAGAATGCATTTGAGATGTGTCTAAATAATGAATCGGCTGTTCTTCAAGTTTCCGATATCCCATNAGGATCCTAGGGCTTGAAAATTTTTTTTCCATATATAGAGGATATATTTATGTCAATTGATCAGGGACCCTTCACTGATTATTAGTAGATAAAAGTTTTTAATTGGACCGCTGAATATTGTTAAAATATTGTCCATATATTGGGTGTAAGTATGGGTAAAAAGAAATCTTCAATATCCAAACTCACACTCACATCCACATCCTACTTTTGTTGTGGAGCTAGAGATGAAATGGCCATAATTAAAAAGGCTTCAATTGCAGGCATATTTGAGTGGGTCTGGTATGGGTAGTTGAATAAGTGAAGAAAAAAACACACACACACACAGTGATATAAAATAAAAGTTTCAAAACAAAGCAAAAAAAGATACCCAAATAAAAAGATTCATCTCGATTCATATATTGATTAGGAAAACCAGTTGATGAGCATTACAATATGTTCACTGTCATATGTCGTTAGAAAAGCAAAAACATTTTCTTTTATTTGTTTAGATGCGTACTACACTGTATCATATAGCTTCTTCACGATTGTCACTATTTCTTGTAGGTATCGTTATATGAGGTAGTGTTGCTGGTTGCAATTGATTTTCTTCATATAAATTTTCTACATATTCTTGTTGTTGAATTTTGTCATTTAAACCTTTACAACGACAGCAAATTATTTCATGAAAAGATGTTCGAAATTCTTGATTATATTTAAAATAAATTAGGGGACGTAACATTGACAATGAATAACCAAGCCATAATAAAACCGGATCAACCCATGAAGGCATATTTAATGGTTTTGGTGTGCTTGTTAAGCCTGTTATGTGTTCATGTAAAGGGTTTATTATAGCAAATGAGCTAAATGGAGGAAAAGAAATAATCAATAATCCTAGCATAACACCAAGTGTACGTATTGCTTGTCGATTTGCTAAATGAACATGATGAGAAATTGAAGAACGACGTGAAACAAATATCGATAGGCAACCATTAAATAGTGTGCTTATACAGTGACCTAAACACCGTGTTCGAGACAAAAAACTTGTTGATTTTGATTCATGTTGACTATTTTCTGAACGTTTTAATGATTGTCTTTCATCTACTGTTGAAGAATAACCATCATTCGTATTTGTATTAGATATATTTAAAAGAAACTGTGGAGATGTGCAACTATTTCCAGTTGATTGTTGCTCATCTACTACTTCAGATGCTTGTTCAACATTTGCTGATGTAGTATTATGTGTTACAAATTGAGACATTTGAACACTTGATCGATGATCTATTGCTGTTCGATAGATTTTAATATAGATAATTAGTATAATGGTAACGGGTATGTAAAATAAAATCATTGCTACAAATATTTGATAGGCTAATGTTGGATTTAATTGACAAATACAAAGGTTTTCAGATGGACCTAAAGCGAAATATATTATTCTTAGAAGATTTATTTTTCCAAAAATACAAAAGAAAAAACTTAATCAAATTAATAGTAAAGCAATACGATTTTATGTAAAGCGTGTTTTTTTAGAAACCCCTGATGAACAAGTGAGGCTAGCGACAAAATCGATTATCATTATTCATCCATAACCTAAAAAGAAAAGATGAATCTCTGAATTCAGTAAGTAGCACTTAAATCCTCAAATCAAATAAACAAGACGATCAACAGTCAGTTATTGCTTTTGGCAATCGTGCATATCCAGCAATAATAAATCTAACTATCGTTCTAGATAAATAGCTTTTATTCTATAGAACTGATTGTTTATTATTTTAAATAAAATTAATTGGACAATTTGATGAACTTTTCATGTAATTTTCTATACAGAAAAAAGTAATTGATACATACATCCCCAGCTCATGATGAGTGGTAATGAAACAAATGCACTAACTATCCAAACACTGACAATCATTAATAAAACTAATATAATTCTACGCATTGAAGTATATTTAGATGAGTAATTAATAATAGAATAACGATCAATTGAAAGTACGAGAATATGTAACACTCCTGAAGGATATAAAAGAACATCAACTGATGTCCATATGTCACACATAATAGAACCAAAAATCCATCTATAACTAGATATTTCAAGAACTAAAAAATAAATGCAATACATTTATTGTATATAAATGATTAACGAATTTACTTATAGCCAATGGCATAATAAATAAGCCAATTAACAAGTCACTAACAGCAAGACTAACAATAATTGAATTTGATGCTGTTCGTAATCTTCGTACAAGAGAAACGGCAAGTATGACAACAATATTTCCAACTATTGTTAAAATACACATCAATGAACAAACAATAATAATTATAATTAATTGTGCTGAGTTTCGAGCGTCGTTTTCATTATATTCCATAGTATTTGTTTTATAAATTAGTTCATCATTTATTGCTGATGTTGGTAATGTTGTTGATGATAATAAAGAGATTGTTGTATGTATTCGTCGTCGAGAATTATTAAACATTGTTGTTGTTTCATTTGTCTGTATAATAGAAAATAAAGATGAAGTTTCTTGTTCTCGGTGATTGATAATGTGTTGTTGGACAGCAGTCACCGATGACATTAACGAAAAAATCAATAAAAACAAAATAAAAACTGATGTACGTTTTGAATAAACTAGCCATTGAAAAATCAACAATGACAGTCGAAAGATTCGACGACCATGTAAAAGCGTTAATATCGGCTCTAAAAACAAGATTTTTTTATTAGTTGTTCAAATAGAATTACAAGGAATACTACAACAGTTTTTTTTGCCAGTTTCTTCTGATGCAGTTTGAAAACTTACGTTAGACAGCTATTGATAGCCTAACTTTTTTCTACTAAATTCCAATGCCATTCACATTATTTAAAAAATGGCGTGATACACTTGTCTGTACTTTTGTTTCGATGAATTTTAACTTCTCTCTTCGGTTGTTTTATAATAGTCGATCCTTTGATTACATTGCTTACGCTCTATTCTAATAAACTAATTATGATTGACCACTAGTGATCATGTCTAATACAAGATTGATATTGGTCTATCCCAATCTCATCAGTAAATTTCTGAGTAAATAAAAGCTGAAGGGCAACTAGAAGCTTAATTAATAATGTGTGACTCGTTTGAAAGAAATGTAAGAATAAGACATTATAAAAGACCTAAAGATCTGAAATTTAGTACATCATCCTAAATATGTTTATGTATTATACACATCACATCAAAGGTTATTTTTTACATATAGTCTATGTAACTTTTACGGTCTTCGAGACAGTATCGTCGATAACAGAGTTACAAAAATTGTCTAGTTTTCCTTTTTTGTATCGTGAATTTGATAGAATATGAACCAACCGTATGTGTGTGCTACTTATTTTACTAATTACTGTTTCTTTTTTCCAGGTCATGTCATTAATATAAAAGCTATTTTGTGATAGATGTTCTCTTTCTCGTAGAGAAGAGTCTAATAGGAATAAATTGTTTGTTTGATTGTTTGTATGTCCGCACTTCACTGATTGGTCCAAAAATAATGCCAAAACAAAAAGGATTGTTTTCCATAAAACTTGACCAAAGGTAATCAGGAGCGGGGAGCTCAAATCTGCGGTCAGTTTCAGTTAATTAACTAATTATTAACTAATTATTAAGTATTATTATTTTCAAAAAGACTTGACAAAATGTAATTGATGGTGGAGAATCTGAATCTGACGATGTTTTTAACTAACTAATTATTTAATTATTAAAATTTTCTCAAAAACGTGACCAAAGGTAATCGAAAATCAGCAATCCTGACCTGAGAATCATTTCATATTAATAATTAGTAGAAGTAATTTTTGAAAACGTTTAATGGAAAGTTATCTAGGATGAAGAATTCGAATCTGAGATTAGTTTAAAGTTAATAATGTCCATTTCAGCGATAAATGGCCGTGGACATTTTTCGAATAACTCCATAATAACAAAAGATAAAGAGCTGATATTTTAGTACTATCTAGAGTCGAGGTTACTCTATCTTTTCATAAGGTCGATGAAAAATTTCAGTCATTT